GATCTTAATTTACTTTCAATCTGACCAATTGATTTGTTAAAATATGTTGAGTTTTACAACTAAAGTGAATATTACATCCAATATTCAGGGAGGTCAAAGCCCTTGGAAATTGGGTGCAAATAGATAGGGAAATAAAATTATCGGGCGTAGAATTGGAGATTTTAGAGTGACAGACTAAAATTTCCAATTTGGTTCTATCGTTTGAGTGCTGAAGTGTAGTTGTTAGCCCTCAGGCGAGGGGAACGTGGAAGCTCCAAAGTGAGAGTCGGTATCCTCTCAGCCTAACCGTAGATTCAATAACCAAGCATATAATTAATCAATGTTCTTTATGTCTGGACCAAATTTGAACTGATTCACTTTATCCATTCACTATAATTTCTTGATAAGAAGAATGATGCTTTCCCATATATTGAATTTCACATTAGAAACTTTATTATTAGAATTAGTTATTTAATAGTTATTAAAATTACATATTTATTTCTATTGTTGATTATTGACAGATAAGCAATTTGAATTATATTGTTGTAATTAAGTATTGATTTTCTAAAATCTTAGTTCGTAGCCTCTAATATTACTCCCTATAATATCGATATCTAGGACTCAATTAGAGCCCTATATTACTTGAGCGATACGTATACTTGCGTTGATAAATGTGACTTTGCCATGTTGATAAATGTGACTTTGTGTGACTTTGCCATTATTGAATATTTTATATATGCATCTTTATCGAATCTATAACCGTTATCAAATTTTTGGTGTTGTTGCCGATTTGGTATAGTTGCTGAGGAATTAAATCTTTTAGTTGCAGTTTTAAATACTTATATTTTTAAGCATATATAAAGTCGCTGTCATTTCTCCACCTAAAGATGTAATCCACCAAAGTCTCGTTGGGCTTTTGCTTTTCCATCATGAGCTCTCCGATAGAAACATGATGTTGCGTTTTGGCAAATTTCTTCACCAATAATAGTTCCAACTCGACAAATGTCTTATATATGGAGAGAGAGAAAGAGAGAGATAGAAATGATTATGATTTAAGAAAATATAAGTCGTTTTAACTCAAAATACCTTTTATTGATTGAAAATAAAAACTAATTTAAAATTATAAATTGCATTCGTTTATCAATTTCATCCATAAGCTTTGATATTTTTTAAAAAATTTTAAAAAAAAAGGAAAATCAAATTAAAATAACATATTACACTTTGGCGCCACCTTGGTCTGAATGCAGAATTCTTCTAACAGTTTACAGCTACAGTTAAAATTTATTGCAAGTTGGTCTTTTTATAAAAATTTTGCAGCATCTACGACCAAACGTTGAATTTGACACGTGTCTCCACCCCACACCATCAGCAATGCACCGATAATAACACACTAATGGGAAGTCTTCGTCTTCCTCTCCACTTACCAAAGATCACTCTTGTTCTCTTGCCTCTCTCTCTCTCTATCTCTACTGTTACTCACTCTCCATGCGCTGCGCCATCATCGCCGTTTCAGCCGTGATGCTACTCATTGCCATATCTTCCGGTAAACGTCTTCTGAACTCATCATCTTTTACTCATCAATGCAAACTTTCAGTTTTAGGATTAAAAATTTCAGATTAAAACAGAACCGATCATTAAATTTCTTTTAAACTCCTTCGAAATTCTCCTAATCCTCTCAAAATTCCTTTTTCCTCACTTAATCCGCCTAAAAATGTAATCTTTGCATCCGTTTAACTCAGAAAACGAGCTTTTATTCCCCTGTTCTGCTTCAAAGTTGGTATCTTGGAAAAATAACAGGTAGCGGATTGAGCTTGAATCAAGCCAAGGATCAACAATGGCGGCTTCCGCCGCAGACACGCCGGAGACTCGCCGGACCGGGATCGTCGCCACCAATCTGCCGATCAAGATGCGGCGATTGCTTCCCCTGCCGTCCGATCCACGTCGCAATCCAGAAAGGTCAAATCATGCCGCTCGAGTACTACCCTGAAGCCTGGCGCTGCAAATGCCGAAACAAGCTCTTTCTGCCATGAAAGATGAGCACAAGAGAAAGAAATCATGCTTTTAATCCTAGTTAAGTTCTTCTTTTTTCATCGATGTATAGGTAAAATTCGTTATTTTGATTCGACGAGGGTTCAAAAAATCCAGTTTTGCTAGCTTCTGCAGATCAGAAAAAGAGTATATTTTTTTTTTCTTACCTTATGTGTTAAAAATCTGGCTTCAGATCAGAAGAGAACAGGAGGTTTGGAGGGGAGAAGACATCTAGTTTGGCCGCCATTGTCGTCTTCTTCCTTTTCTGCGTATCTGTATCAGTGCCGAAATAATTTTTTTTTAGGTTTTTGTTTCTGATTTTGATGCAGAAATAGTTATTATTGCTGTTAAATGAAGAGCTTTTTTATGGAAATGTATTTAGAAATGTTTTCTACTGCAGTAATGAATGCAGGGAGAAAAAGACGGTCTTGATGCTGAAATATGGCGAGGGGGCACGTGACCTCACACGTGGGATGTTTCAATTAACTCGAATTTAATTCGGATAAATTTTAAAATTATTAATTTTGCTTTGTAAGATGTAATTGTTTTCATTATTTGAATAGAAATTCGATAGTTGTAAGAGGAGTTCTGACATAATCTATGACCAAATCTTCTGAAGATTGATGTTTGGAATGTGAAGTTATGATGGAAATTTGTATGGTAAGAGTTTAGGCATGAGAGATATGGTAAGTTATATGTTTTATGTAAAGGTTTTTAATTTAGAATTATAAAATAATACAATATTGTTATAATTTCTTAAATAAAAAATATCCCTACTCAAATTAAAAATAATCTTGATTTCTGATTTCAGCAAATTTATAGTCAATTGGTCGTTTCAACAAGAACTCCAAATTTGATATATTTATAGTCAAATCGAGTGTTAATATAAGAGGAATCCAACAAGCTTAAGCTATCTTAATTCTAAGGTCACTACGACCCTCAAATCGTCAAAGGAAAATACCTTATGATAAAAGGGATCAATATGCATCGTCTGATCAGGTGATTGGGATGAATGTGCATCTTCAATTGTTCCAATACTTTTCTTCGAATCTTCCTTACCTCGCTCATGTAAGTGTTGGCCCAGGTGAACTTAATATATCAAACGTTCTATTTCTTCCTTTAAGTGAATGAATCTATTTGTTAAATATCATTTTGAATGATGAAATTGATATTATTAAGATTGATGCGCGCCATTTAAATTTTTTAACGACTTTGGCTACATAGGGTATTCAAAATTTTGTATCTCCATTAAAATATTACTTATGAATGAGTTCAGTAAAATATGATGGGATGTCTTAGAGCGATAGCAATTTTATATGTTGGCATTGCACGCCTCATTCCATGGCAAGTTTGTCTAACTTCTTCAAGAGTCTGTTTGTGTTTTCTAGAATATTTTTTTTGCATTAATGGCCAGCAATAGGGCTCACAACGTAACCGTCCCAAACAAACATCACTTAAATAACTTTGGATCCCCTTCTGGAGTTTGGCGAGCGTTAGTAAACAATCTTTAACAATATTTTTAATCGATTCTCATTCATTTTGAGGAATTCCAAAAAGAAGAGAGGTGTCTTTGATAATCCTTCGATTTGTTCTAAGTTGTTCCACAAAGCGGTCTGACAAGTTCATCGAAACTATGAGTAGTTCATCTCTTGGGAGTGAATAAACCAAGTACACACCTGAATTTTATGGGGGGGTAGAAAAAACTTGACAGATGAGTGCCTAACTGGCGTGTCATATATGCATTATTGTTCTATAGTAATCAATGTGTTCATATAGATCAGAGGTCCCATTATAAGAGTCATTGTTTGGAGCACCATATCGTCCAAAGGTGAAGGTTCCAAAGAATTACGACGAGTAAGAAAATAATTTTTATCTCTTAAAAAGAGTTCTTGAACCATACGTCAAAGCTCATCATGAATTACATAGTGCGGTTAAGCTAAATTCTCTAGGAGTGTTAGAGGGTTATAACTTGGTACAATTACGCGCAATGGATGCATGAAATTAGCAATATTCAAGAAATTGGCTTCCTAATCTAGCTGAGGAAGGAATCTAGTATGAGGGTGGGTTGTCGGTGGAGCATCCTCTATCTAAGGATCTCAGATTGATGGATAATATTGGAGTAGATGAATCTCACCCAGTTATGCTACTACTAGTTGTCGAGTTTCAAATATAACCTGAAGAATCTCATTTTTTATATTCTTTCATTCTTTGCATAAGGGTCTCAAAGGACAAAAAAGAGACATCTTCACCAGCAAGGTGATGTGTATCATTGGGAGACAGAGAGGGGGATTTGCATCTCAAACTCCAAGACTATATCCTAGAATGACGGGAGTTAGAACAAGAAGCTTTTGTGTTGTGCTTGTTAGTCATGAAAGAAGTCTTGACTTCTATCAAAGGCACTTTCTCGCAAACGACTCCAAAAAGTTGCACATCAAAAAATTCATAGCATGTGATAAATTATTATCTTAGAGTTGCATGTAGATCTAACACACACAAATGATTGAAGAGTAGTAGGAGAAGACACCAAGTATTTTTACGTGAAAAAACTTAGAAATAAAAAAAAAATCACTGGGCCTAGCCCGATTAAAGCAATCCATTAAAATTGTGTCATTACAAAGATACAAAGATACAATCTTTTCTAACAATTGGAAGAGTAGGGTTACAATTTTATACTAGTTAGAACACTTGTTCGCATACAACATGTGTAAAACTTTAGGATTCTGGAAAATAGTAGCTAGAAGTTATTGTCAGATCTTCAAATACAGTGTTATGTGTTATGATCGTATTTCAAATAAGACATTACAAACAAGGGTCGACGATTGCAGCGAGTAAGGGAAATCGACTAGTGGTCGACAACAAAAGAGGTTGGAAATTATCATCGAGTCTTCAATTTAAAACAACACTAAAATTTTACTCCTTATCCCTCCCTCCAGTGATTATTTCCTCTCGAGAGGGGCATTTTGGTCATTTAGCTTATTGTTGCATCCTAGTTTGTCCTTTGTCAATCACGCTCTGAGAGTTAGAGTCGAGTGAAGAAGAGGAAGAAGGAAAAATAGAATAAGCCTGAGATCTTTGTAAAGAGAATCGAGGGAATGGTCTCTTTATTCATTTTTTTCCTCATACTTATAGAGGGTATTTTGTACAATTACAAAAAAAATTGAATGATTTTGGAAACTATTCTTAATGTTATTAAGGCTCTAATTGAATGTAATATAATTTGAATTTCAACATTAGCGGTAATTGACTGGTCGGTTGACTTGAAGTCAACCGATTGAGAAGACTAACCGAGTGACATCTATGGCCTTTGGAGTACGCGTTAGTCGGTCGAGGTGTTCGGCGGTAAGACGATCTTGCTAGGTGTCTTTTGGCATAGACGACCAGAGCGGTCAGTTGTGAGGTGGTCATTCGCTCCGAATGCGTGATTGGTCGGTCGGATGTGATTAGCCGACGTAGTGAGTCGTGTCTCATTTTTTGTTCGGCTCTATTCTTATATGACTCTTATCTCGCTTTCTTGGTTGGTTTAGCACCTCGGCTGAATTTCTCAATCTTGAAAGGTCTTATGCGGATTTTGTCACAGCACACACGGGGTATCTGATGAGACTAGCTGTCAGGATGATTCACGCATCACTTTTGTCAGGTCTTGTCACTACCGAGCGGGGAACCATCTCCGAAGCTTGAACATATCCCGGGCTTAGAGCTCGTTAGGTTCATTTTGTTGAGACACTCGATTTGGCTATAATTTGGAGCTTATTTGACCATTCAATTAACGATCTAAAACCTTCAAATGATCTTCAATGGCTTGATTGAACTTTATTGGACTCATATTGAACCAATTTTGGTATGATCTGGTTCGTCCAGTCAAGTCAGCCAGTGTGACTATAAACCATGCTGAAATCGGGAGGTTCGATGATTTTATTTCTTGTTCAAAAATGCCTCAAGATACATGTCAAATAATAAAATTTCTTAATTACATCAAATTTTAAAATATAAATATAATAAAATTTATATATAATTTATTTATATTCATTCATTTTAACTTTAATTCCTCGAAATGAGTCGGCTCGATTTCGATTATAAGCGTCCCTATTTCATCTAATTATTATGTGCGGAGGACCACTGTCATACAGCCGTGATGTGTGACTGTAATCGAAGAAAACGCGTAGCTCTGCGCCACGCAATAATCGCTGAGATGCTCCCCTATTTCAGTCGACGGACGGTTCATAATTTCTCGAGCATTTCAGAAGGAACTCGCGAGCAGGTACGGTTTAATTGAACCGGTTGGATGCACGGCCGGTTAAACTGGAAAGATGTCGGCAGATGTACGTAAGGTATGGCTGCAGAATGGGGAGCAGTATTGTTTCGTCCGGAACGCTGACATACGTCAAAGTGATATCAGACGGTTCTGATCAGTCATTCCAAATTACGACTTTGAAATCTGAGCTCAAATTTGGAACCATTTCTCGGGCTCCACGAAATCCGAATTACTTTATTTTCTATATTTAACATTTAAAATTTACTGTAAATATCAAGATTCAGTATAAATTTATTTAAATATAATAAAAATAATATGATTTAAAAAAAAATTAGTTGCAAAATATAAAATAAATATCACAATATTTTAAAAACCAACATCATAATAATTTTAATATATTAGTTTAAAAATTAATAAAAAACTAATTTATTGTTCAAAATATTTGCGCACTATCATGGATCGAAAATATAGGAAATAGAGAGTAAAATCTTAATTAAGAAAATCAACAACTAAGAAAAAATTAAGAAAGATGTGAATTTGTGTGATTTTTTTATTTCACTAATTACAAAATTTTAATTTAATTAACTAATTTTTATGTCTGAAATGATATTTCTTTTCATTTAATTTGACTTTAATAATTTTAATTATTTTAACAGTTTCAATTTAATTTTTTATATTTAATACTAAAATGATTTCTCAGGTTACATTTTCGCTACCGCAATACAATTCTAATTGCAATTAAATTTTATTTTAATTATACAATTTATTCAATATTTTAAAATTAAATAACTAAACTATAATTTGAAATAAAATCTAAAAATAACAAGTAATTAACACTAATGATTGAAATATATGATCACATAAATACTTAAAGAAAATTTTAAATTAAAACAATTTGAATAAATTGGGGCTAGTGATTAATAGATGTAAGTGATTAATAATGATTCCTTAACACTAAAAGTTCAAATGATCCCTTGTGAGAGTGATGCCCATAATCTATGTCATCACTTATGATTTAGAAGTTTTTATTGATATATCCTTATACCATATTTAATTAGACTATATAATCATATAATCATATAATCATATATATATATATATATATATAT